CCAGCCCTGGGTAAAAAAATAATTAATGTTCCCCCGAGCCTGGGTAAAAAAGAAAAATATAATGTCCCAGCCATGATAAAAAGATAAATGTTCCCGAGCCATGATAAAATGAAAAAATAATGTCCCCGAGCTATAAAATTTTGTGAATTTTTTAGGAAAATAGCTTTTAAAAAAACAAAATGTTGTCTCTGTGGCCAAGAGGGGTTTCCTGTAAAAAGGAGGCCCCCGGGACGCGCCTTTGCCATGGCCCCCCAAAACCCACGTCGGCGTCCCCCAAAGCTAATTTTTGGGAACCCGCTGGGTGGGAAAAAATCCTAGGGAAAAACTTTGTTTTTTTTTTCCCGTGGGGGTGTTAAAGGGGAAGTGCCCCAAAACCCCCCTCTGGTCCCCCCCCCCCCTCCTCCTTACTGTCCCCCGGTTTCCCCCCCCCCCCCCTGCCCGTCCCCCCCCCCCCCCCCCCCCCTCCCCCTGACCCGTCCCCCTTTCCCCCCCCTTTCCCCCCCGGAAAGGTTTTCTGTTTTTCCCCCCCTCCTCCTGAAAATGGTTCCCCCGGGAAACCCCTTTCCTCCCCCCTGACGTCCCCTGTTCCCCCCCTCCTCCTCCTCCTGACTGGTTTCCCCTGTCCCCATCCCCCTCCTGACCCGTCTCTGTACCCCTCCTCCCCCTGAAATGTCTCTGTAACCCCCCCTCCGAAATGTCCCCCCCTGTAAACCCCCCCCTCCCCCCCTGAAAATGGTTTTTCCCCCGCCCCTCCTCCTCCTGAAATGGTTCCCCCTGTCCCCCCCCCCTCCTCCCCCACTGTCCCCCCCTTACCCCTCCCCTCCTCCTGACCCCGTCCTTCCCCCCCTCCCCCCCCCTGAAATTTCTCGTTAACCCCCCCCCTCCTCCTGAAATCTCTGTTTCCCCCTCCCTTTCCGACCCGGCCCTTTTTTTGGGGTTTTTTTCCCGTACCCCTTTAAACCCCCCCCTCCCCCCTGACTGTCCCCCTGTCCCCCCCTCCTCCCCGACTGCCCCCTTTTCCCCCCCCTTCCCCCTGACTGTTCCCCCTGGGACCCCCCCCCCTCCTGACTGTCTCTTTTCCCCCCCCCTCCTCCGGGCTGTCCCTGTCCCCCCTCCTTTCCCGAAAAGTCCCTTTTACCCCTCCCCCTCCGGAAATGTCCCCCCGGGCCCCCCCCCTCCTCCTCTGTCGCTGTCCCTCCCCTCCCCCCTTTTCCCTTACCCCCTTCCCCCTGGGGGTTCCCGTCCCCCCCTCCTCCCCCTGACCTTTTCCCCTGTCCCCCTCCCTTCCCCCCTGAAATGTTCCCCCTGTAAAACCCCCCCCTCCTCCTGAACCCGTTTTTTCCCCCTCTGCCAAACCCCTTCCTCCTCCTCCCGACTTCCCCCTGTAAACCTTCCTTTCCCCCCCTCCCCGCCCGTCCCCTGTAAAACCCTCCCCTTTCCCCCCTCCTGATTTTCCTTTTTGGGGCTCCCCTTCCCCCCTCCTGAAATGTCCCCCTGTCCCCCTCCTCCTCCCTGAAATGGCCCCCCTGTCCCCCCCCCTCCTCCTGGGGCTGCCCCCTTCCCCCCCCCCTCCTCCTGACTTTTCCCCGGGACCCCCCCCCTCCTCCTGAAATGTCCCCTGTACCCCCCCCCCTCCTCCTCTTGGGCCCCCCTGTACCCCTTCCCCCCTCCTGACTTTTTCTTTTTCCCCCCCCCTCCTCCTGAAATGTCCCCCTGTAACCGGGCCCCCCTCCCCCCCCCCTCCTCCTGCTCTTTTTTCCTGTACCCCCCCCTCCTCCTCCCACTGCCCCTGTCCCCCCCCCTCCTCCCCCTTTACTGTCTCTGGGCCCCCCCCCCTCCCCCTCCTGACTGGGCTTTTGTACCCCTCCTCCTCCCGAACCCCGCCTTTTGGGCCCCCCCCCCCCTCCTCCTGATGTCTCTTTTAAAACCCCCCCCCTCCTCCTCCTGACTTTTTTCCCTTAACCCTTTTCCCCCTTTCCCGACTGTCTTTTGTACCCCTCCCTCCTCCCCCCCCTGAAAGGGCCCCTGTCCCCCCCCCTCCCCCTGCTGTCTCTTTTACCCATCCTCCTCCTTTAAAATGTCCCCTTTTCCCCCCCCCTTTCCCCCTCCCCCCTGAAAATTGGGGCCCCCCCTGTTAAACCCCCCCCCCTTCCCCCCTCCTGAAATGTTTTTCTGTACCCCCCCCTCCCCCTGACTGTCCCCTTTTCCCCCCCCCTTCCCCCCTGACCCGTCTCCCGTTAAACCCCCCCCCCTCCCCTAAATTTTCTTCCTTTTCCCCCCCCCCCCTCCTGACCCCTTCCCCCCGTAACCCCCCCCCCTTTCCCCCCTCCCCGAATGCCCCCCTGTCCCCCCCCCTCCTCCTGAAAAATGGGCCCCCCCTGTCCCCCCCTCCCCCCTACTGTCCCCCCTGTCCCCCTCCCCCCCTCCTTACTGTCCCCCCCTTTTTCCCCTCCTCCTCCTGAAATGTCCCTTTGTTTCCCCCCCCTCCTCCTTGAAATGTCTCTGTCCCCCCCCCCCTCCTCCTGACTGTTTTTCCCGGGAAAACCCCCCCTCCCCTCCTCCCCGCTGTCTCCTTTTAAAAAACCCCCCCCCTTCCCTTTCCCCCTCCCCCGTCCCCCTGTTTTCCCCCCCCCCTCCTCCTGAAAATGCCCCCTTTGGCCCCCTTCCCCCCCTCCCCTAACCCCGTCCCTTAAAACCCCCCCCCCCCTCCTGACTGTCCCTGTCCCCCCCCCTCCCCCCCCCCCTGACCCCGTCTCTGGGAAACCCCCCCTCCCCTCCTACCCGTCCCCCCTGTAACCCTTCCCCCCTCCTGACTTTCCTGTCCCCCCCCCCTCCTTCCCCCCTCCTGACTGTCTTCCTGTCCCCCCCCCCCTCCGAAATTTTCCTTTTTGTAACCCCCCCTCCTTCCCCGACGGGCCCCTGTAACCCCCCTCCCCCTCCTGACTGTTTTCTGGGCCCCCCCTCCTCCTCCTGCCTTGTCTCTGTCCCCCCCCCTCCCCCTGACTGTCCCCCCTGTCCCCCCCCCCTCCCCCCCTCCTGACTTTCCCCTGCCCCCCCCCTCCCCCCTGACTGTCCCCCTGTTAAACCCCCCCCCCTCCTCCTCCTCCCTGCGTTTCCCCCCCCCTCGGCCCCCCCCCTCCCCCCCCCTTACTTTTCCCCCCTGTTTCCCCCCTCCTTCCTTCCACTGTTTTCTGTTTCCCCCCCCCTCCTCCTGCCCTTTTCCCGTCCCCCCCCCTCCCTCCTTACTTTTCCCTTTTTTCCCCCCCCCTCCTGAAATTTTTTTTTTCCCCCTCCCCCCTTCCCGTGTCTCCCGTCCCCCCCCTCCCCCTCCTGAAACCTTTGTTCCCCCAAAAAAACCCCCCTCCTCCCCCCTTTCCCCCTCCCCACTGTCCCCCTTTTACCCCTCCCCCCTCCTTTCCCGACTGTCTCCTGTTCCCCCCTCCTCCTCCCCCCCCCCCCCCTCCTGAAAAGGCCCCCTCTTTTCACCCCCCTCCCCCCTGGGCTGGGCCCCCCTGGGACCCCCAAACCTCCTCCCCGAAACCCGTTTTTCTGTACCCCTCCTCCCTCCTTATGTCTCCGTACCCCTTCCCCCCTCCTCCTGAAACCCGTTCTTTGTACCCCCCCCTCCCTCCCCCCCTGACCCGTCCCCCTGTAACCCCCCCCTCCTCCCGAAAATGTCCCCTGTCCCCCCCCCCTCCCCCTGACTGTCCTTGTAAACCCCCCCCTCCTTCCCCCCCTGACTGGGCCCCCCTGTAAACCCCCCCCCTTCCCCCCCTCCTTCCTGCCCCTGTCCGGCCCCCCCCTCCTTCCCCGACTGCTCTGTCCCCCTCCTCCCCCCTGAACCCGTCCCCCCCCTGGGACCCCTCCCCCCCCTCCTCCTGGGCTGTTTTCTCCCCCCCCCCCTCCCCCCCTGACTTTTTCCCCCTGTCCCCCCCCCCCCTCCTCCTGAAATGTTTTTCTGTTTCCCCCCCCCTCCCTCCCCCGACTGTCCCCCCCTTTTACCCCTCCCCCCCTCCTTTACTGTCCCCTGTTCCCCCCCCCCTCCTCCTGACTGTCTTGTCCCCCCCCCCCCTCCTCCCCTGAAATGTCCCCCCTGGGAACCCCCCCCCCCTCCTCCTGAAAAATGTCTCCCGGTTAAAAAAAACCCCCCCCTCCCCCCTGACTTCCTCTGGTCCCCCCCCTCCCCCCTCCCCGGAAATGTCTCTGTCCCATCCCCTCCCCTGCCCCGGTCCCCCTGTAAACCCCCCCCCTCCCCCCTCCTGGGCCCGTCCCCCCTGTGTTTTTTACCACCCCCTCCTCCTCCTGACTTTTCTTTCCCCCTTGGTACCCCCCTCCTCCTCCTCCCTGATGTCTCTGTCCCCCTTCCTCCCCTGACTGCCCCTCTGTACCCCTCCTCCTCCTCCTGCCCGGGTCCTCTTTTTAACCCCCCTCCTCCTCCTGACTGTCTCTGTCCCCCTCCTCCTCCTGACTGTCTCTGTACCCCCCCTCCTCCTCCTGACTGTCCTTTGCCCCCTCCCTCCTCCCTGAATGTCTCTGACCCATCCTCCTCCTGCTGTCCTGTACCCCCTCCTTCTGCTCCCTTCCCTCCTCCCTGACGTCTCTGTCCCCCTCCTCCCTACTGCTGTTCTTCCCCTTCCCCTCGTCCTGCCCCCCCTTTGAACTTTCTTCCCCTCCTCCCTACTTTTCCTGCCCCCTCCTCCTCCTCTTCCCTGTCCCGCCCCTTTCCCCCCTCCTCCCTCCGGGCCTGTCCCCTACCTCCTCGTTCCCCTCTCTTCCACCCTGTGATAAGAGTTTTCTTTTTAAAGCAAAGACTGCAGCAAGCCATGACAAACATTGGGACTCAGCCTTCCGGGTGTCAGGTGGGGAAATTTATTTTGTAGATTATTAAGTTTATTATTGGGTTTTTTGTTGTGATACGTTTTATTAAGTTAGTTTGTTTTTGTTCTTCCCCCCAATTTGGTGTGGGAAGTGTTACAGCTGGAAGAACGGACTTACTCCCCATGGTCAAGTCCCACAGTGTGGCAGAGCCTTACAGGTGAGTCACCGCTAACACGTTCTCAGCCGTCGTTTTTGGGACAGGTGAGTAAACCACAAAACACGTTTTCCCTAGCCGTCGCTTTGGGACAGGTGAGTCACCACTACACGTTCTCAGCCGTCGCTTTGGGACAGGTGAGTCACCATAAACAACGTTCTCCTGGCCGCCTCGCTTTCAAAAACCAAAACAGACACCAAGTCAGCTTCGAAAAGTCGACAGTCAAAATATGAAAAGCCAGTTTTCCCCCCTTTTGTCCGAATGAGTGAGACGGGGTTGGTTAAGCCCATTTTACAAAGTGTTTCTTCTAGATAATATTTGGATTGGATTTGTTAATGCTTCTCTGTCCTGTAGGTGTATGTGGTTGTGGGAAAAGGAGTTCTTTGAAAAAGGCTCTGTTCAGGAGAAAACGTGAAGAAGGCTAACGCATGGCAAGAAGGGGCAGAGTAAAGCAGAACCTAGAGCGGGCGTGGTGAGCACTGTGGCAGGAAGTTCACCCAGCCAAACTCAGAATAAGGCGAACACATGAACAACCACCGGGTGAGACACACACACACACCACACACCACACCCCACAGTAAAGCCACAATCCTTCCCTTCTTCCAGCCTAATGGAAGCCCCCCCCCGCCCCAGGTTGTTGCTATAAACCCGAGGGATGGGGGGCTAGAGAAACGTAACCCATCTCTGAGATGGGAGCTGTTAGCATGGCGCTTGGAACGCCAGGGTAGTGGGTTTTTTGATCCCCGGGACCACCCATACGTTAAAAATTTTAGTCTTTTAAAACCCCCCGGGGAAACCCTTTTTAAAAATTTGGGGTTTTTTTTGGGTTTTTTTTAAAAAAAATTTTTTAAACATTTTTTTAAAATTTGGTTTTAAAAACCCCGGGTTTTTTTTTTTCCCCCCGGGGGTTTTTTTTGGTTTGTTTTTTGTTGGGGGGGAAGGGGGGCCCCCTTTGGGGGGGTTTTTTAAAAAAACCCGGGAAAACCCAAAAAACCCCCGGGGGGCCCCCGGGGGGTTTTTTTTTTAAAAAAAAGGGGGGTTTTTTTTGGGGTTTTTCCCCCCTTTTTTTTTTAATTATTTTTTTAAAAGGAAAAAATTTAACCCCCAAAAAAAAACCCCCCCAAAAAAACCCGAAAAAATTTTAAAAAAAAAATTTTTTTAAAAAAAAAACCCCCCCCAAAAAAAATTTCCCCTTTTTTTTAAAAGGGGTTAAAACCCCTTTTTTTAAAAATTTTTTGGGGAAAAAAACCCCCAAAAAAAAAAAAAAAAAACCCCCCCCAAAAAAGGGGCCCCGGGCCCCCGGGGGGGGGGAAAAAAAAGGGGGGGGAAAATTGGGAAAAGGGAAAAGTTTCCGGGGGGAAAAAAGGGGGGAAAAAATAAAAAAACCCCCCCCCCCCGGGGCCCCCAAAAACCCCCGGGGGGGTTTTTTTTGAGAACGGTGAGGAAACCCCCCCCCAAAAAAGGGGGGTTTTTCCGGGGTGGCCCAAAAAAAAAAACAAGGGGTTTGAAACCCCCCCCAAGGCCCGGGTTTCCCCCCAAAAAAAACCCCCCAATTTCCCCCCTTTTTAAAAAAGGGGAAAGGGGGGTTTTTTTGGGGGTTTTTGGGGGGCCAAAACCCCCGGTTTAAAAGGGGGGGGAAGGGGGGAAAAAAAAAAACCCCCCCCCAAAAAACCCCCCTTTTTTTGGGGGGGGGGTTTTTTTGGGGGGGTTTTCCCCCAAAAGGGGAAACCCCCCTTAAAGGGGAAAAAGGGGGGCCCCCCCCCCCGGGGGAAAAAACCCCCCCGGGGGGGGCCGGGGAAAAAAAACCCCCGGGGGGGGGGGATTTTTGGGGAAAAAAAGGCCCCGGAAAAAGGGCCCCCCAAAAAAAAAAATTTTGGGGGGGCCCCCCCCCCCAAAAACCCCCCTTTTAAAAAAAAATTTGGGGGGGGGGGGAAAAATTTAAAAAAAAACCTGGGCCCCGGGGGTTTTTTTGGGGGGAAAAACCCCCAAAAAAAAAAAACCCCCCCTTTAAAAAAAATTTTAAAAAAACCCCTTTTTTTTTTTTGGGGGTTTAAAAATTTTTCCCCCCCTTAAAATTAAAATTTTTTTCATTTGGGGGGGGGAAAAAAAATTTTTTTTTTTTAAATTTTTAAAAAAAAGGGTTTTTTTTTTTTTTGGTTTAGTGGGAAAAGGGGGTTTTTTTCCCCTTTTTTTTTTTTTTTTTTTTTTTTCCTTTTTTTTTTTAAAAAAAAAGGGGGTTTTTCCCCCAAAAAAAAAAATTTTTGGGGGAAAAAAAAATTTTTTAAAAAAAAAAAAAAAAAAAAAAATTTTTTTTTAAAAATTTTTTAAAAAAGAAAATTTTTTCCCCCAAAAAAAATATAAAACTCCTAAAAAAAAAAAATTTTTTATTAAAAAATTTAAAAAACCCCAAAAAAAAAAAAAAAATTTTTTTTTCCCCAAAAAAAAAAAAAAAAAAAAATTTAAAAAAAAATTTTTAAAAAAAAAAAAACCCGGAAAAAAAAAAAAAAAAAAAATTTTTTAAATTAAAAATTTTTAAAAAGCAAAAAAAAAAAATTTTAAAATTTTCCCGGGTTTAAAAAAAAAATTTCCCAAAAAAAAAAATAAATGGGCCCCAAAAAAATTTAAAAAAATTTTTAAAAAATTTGGCCCTTTAAAAAAAATTTTTAAAAAAAATTTTCCTTTAAAAAAAAAAAAATTTGGGGTTTTTGGGGCCCCAAAAAAAAAAAAAAAATTTTTTTACCCCAAAAAAAAAACCCCCCAAAAAAAAGGGAAAAAATTTTTTTTTTTTTAAAAAGGGGGTTTTTTTTCCCCCCCCTTTTTTTTCCCCGGGTTTTCCCCCCCCCCCCCCCCCGGGGTTTTTTTTCCCTTTTGGAAGGGGGGGTTTCCCCCGGCCCCCCCTTTTTTTTTCCCCCCCCCCCCCCCCCTTTTTTTTTAAAAAAAAGGGTTTTTTTTCCCCCCCTTTTTTGGCCCCCCCCCCCCTTTCCTTTCCCCCCCCTTTTTTTGGGGGGTTTTTTTTTCCCCCCTATCCCAAAAACCCCCCCCCCCCTTTTGGGGGTTTTCCCCCCCCCCCCCCTTTTTTTTTTTTTTCCCCCCCCCAAACCCCCTTTTCCCCCCCCCGGGGGGGTTTTTTTTTTGGGGGGAAACCCCCCCAAAAAAAAAAAAGGGGGGGGGGGGGAACCCAAAAAAAAACCCCCCCCCTTTTTTAAAAAAAAAAAAAAATTTTTTTTTTGGGGGGGGGGGGGGCCCCCTTTTTTTCCCCCAAAAAAGGGGGGGGGGTTTTAAAAACCCCCCTAAAACCCCCCCCCCCCTTTTTTTTTCCCCCCAAAAAAATTTTTTTTTTTTTTTTTAAACCCCCCCCTTTTTAAAAAAAGGGGGGGGAAAATCCCCCCCCGTTGGTTTTCCCCCCCCCTAAGCTTTTTTTTTTAAAAAAAACCCCCCCCCCCTTTTTTTCCCCCCCCCCCCCCTTTTAATTTTTTCCCCCCCCCCCCCTTTTTTTTTTTTTTTTTCCCCTTTTTTTGGGACCCCCTTTTTTTTTCGTAAACCCCCCCCCCCTTTTCCAAAAAACCCCCCCCCCCAAAAAAAAAATTTTTCCCTTTTTTTAATTTTCCTTTTCCCCCCCCTTTTTTTTTTCCCCCCCCCCCCCTTTTTTTTCCCCCCCCTTTTTCCCCCCCGGGGCCCCCCCCCTCCTCCTTTTTTCCCCCCCCCCCCTTTTTTTTTTCCCCCCCCAAAAATTTTTTCCCCTCCCCCTTTGGGTTTTTCCCCCCCCCCCCCCCTTCCCCCCCCTTTTTCCCCCCCCCTCCCCCTTTTTTAAAACCCCCCCCCCCCCTTTCCCCCCCCCCCTTTTTTTCCCCCCCCAAAAAAATTTCCCCCCCCCTTTTTTTTTTTCCCCCCCCCCTTTTTTAAAAAAAAAAAAGGGGGTTTTTTTCCCCCCCGGGCCCCCCCCTCCCCAAATGTTTTTTTCCCCCCCTTTTAACCCCCCAAAAAAAAAAGGGGGGGGTTTTTTGGCCCCCCCCCCGGGGGGGGGGGGGGGGGGTTTTCCCCCCTTTTTTTTTTCCCCCCCCCCCCCCCCCCTTTCCCCCCCCCCGGCCCCCTTTTCCCCCCCTTCCCTTTCCCCCCCTTTGGGGCCCCCCCCCTTTTTGGGTTTTTTTTCCTTTTTTGGAAAACCCCCCTCCCCTTTTGGTTTTCCCCCCCCCCCCCCTTTTTCCCCCCCCCCCCTTTGGGGAAAACCCCCCCCCCCCCCCCCTCTTCCCCCCCCCCTCCTGGTTTTTCCCCCCCCCCCCCTGTTCCCTTTTTCCCCCCCCTTTTTTGTTCCCCCCCCCCCCTCCAATTCCCCCCCCCCTTTCCTTTTCCCCCCCTTTTTTTAAAAAAGGTTCCCTTCCCCCCCCCCCCCCCCTTAATTTTTTTTTTCCCCCCCCCCCCCCCCCTTTTCCCCCCCCCCCCTTTTTTTTTTTTTTTTTCCCCCCCCCAAATTTTTTTTTTCCCCCCCCCAAACCCCTTTTTTCCCCTTTTTCCCCCCCTTTTTTCCCCCCCCCCCCCCCCCCCCTTTTTTTTCCCCCCCCCCTTTTTTCCCCCTCCCCCCCCCCCCAAACCCCCCCCCCCTTCCCCCCAAAAAAAAAAAAAACCCAAAAAAAAACCCCTTTTTTTTTTCCCCCCCCAAAAAACCCCCCTGAATTCCCCACCCAAAAACCCCCCCCGGGCCCCCCCCCCGGGGGGGGTTTTTTTTTTCCCCCCCCCCCCCTCTTTCCCCCCTTTTTTTCCCCCCCCCTTTTTTAAAAAAAATTTTTCCCCCCTTTTTAAAAAAAAAAAAAAAGGGGGGGGGGTTTTTCCCCCCCCCCTTTTTCCCCCCCCCTTTTTTTCCCCCCCCCTTTTTTTCTTTCCCCCCCCCCCCCTTTTTTTTTTTCCCCCCCCCCCCCCCCCCCCCCTTTTTTCCCCCCCCCCCCCCCCTTTTTTTCTGTTCCCCCCCCCGGGGGTTTTCCCTTTCCCCCCCTTTTTTTTTTCCCTTTTCCCCCCCCCTTTTTTCCCCTTTCCCCCCCCCAATTTTCCCCCCTTTTCCCCCCCCTTTTCCCCCCCCCCTCCCTCCTTTTTTGGGCCCCCTTTTCCCCCCCCTTTTTCCCCCCCCCTTCCCTTTTCCCCCGGCCCCCCCCCCCCCTTCCCCCCGGTTTGGGCCCCCCCCCCCCTTCCCCCCTTTTTTTTTTTTAAGGGTTTAAAAAAAAAAACCCCCCCCCCCCCCCCCCCCCCCCCTTTTTTTTTTTTCCCCCCCCTTTTTTAAAAAAAAACCCCCCCCCCCCCCCCGGGGGAAAAACCCCCCTTTTTTACCCGGGGGCCCCCCTTTCCCCCCCCCCCCCCCCGGGGGAAAATTTTCCCCCGGGTTTTTTGGGGGGGGGGGGGGGGGGAAAAATTTTTTTTCCCCCCCCCAAAAAAAAAAAAAAGGGGGGGGGGAGGGGCCCCCCCCCCCCCGGGGGGGGGGGGGGGGAAAAAAAAAAAAAAAATTTTTTTTTTTTTTTTTTTTTCTTTCCCCCAAAATTTAAAAACCCCCCCCCCTTTTCCCCCCCTTTTTCCCCCCCCTTTTTTTTTCCCCTTTTTTTTTTTTTTCCCCCTTTTTTTTTTTAAATTTTTTTTTTTTTTCCCTTTTCCCCCCTTTTTCCCCTTTTTTTTTTTTTTTTTCCCCTTTTTCCCCCCTTTTGGCCCCCCCCCTTTTTTTTTTTAATTGGGGGGGGGGGGGGAAAATTAAGGGGGTTTTTTCCCCCCCTTCCCCCCGCCTTTTGGGGCCCCCCCCAAAAATTTTGTTCCCCCCTTTTCCCTCCCTTTTTTTCCCCCCCCCCCCCCCCGGGGGCCCCCCCCCCCCCCCCCCTTCCCCCTCCCCCCCTTGGCCCCCCTTCCCCCCCCTTTTTTCCCCCCCCCCCCCTTTTTTTCCCCCCCCAAAGTCCGTCCCCCAAAAAAAAGTTTTTTTTTTCCCCCCCTTTTTTTGGGGGGTTTTTTTTCCCCCCTTTTCCCCCCCCCCCCCTTTTTTCCCCTTTTTTTTTTTAAAGTTTTTTTTTTTTTGGGGGTTTTTTTTTTCCGGCCCAAACCCCCAAAGGTGGCCCCCCCCAAAAACCCTTTTTTTTGGGGGGGGGGCCCCCCCCCCAAAAACCAAAAAACCCCCAAAAAATTTTTTTTTTTCCCCCCCCCCCCCCCCCCCAAAAACCCCCCCCCCCCCCCCCCCCCCCCCTTTCCCCCCTTTTCCTTCCCCCTTTTTTTCCTTTCCCCCCCCCCCGGGTTTTTGCCCCCCCCCCGGGGGGGGGGAAAAAACCCCCCCCCTTTTTTTCCCCCCCCCCCTTTGGGGGGGACCCCCCCCCCGGGGGGTTTTTCCCAAAAAATTTTTGGGGGGAAAAAAAAATTTAATTAAATTTTTTTTTGGGGGGGGGGGGGCTTTAAAAATTTGGGGGTTTTTTAAAACCCAAAAAATTTTTTTTTTCCCCCCCCAAAAAAAATTTTTTTTTAAAAAAAAAAGGGGCCCCCAAAAAAACCCCCCCCCCCTTTTTCCCCCCTTTTCCCTTTTTCCCCCCCCCAGGGTTTTAAAACCCCCCCCCCCAAAAAAAGGGCCCCCCCCCCTTTTGGGGGGGCCCCCCCCCCAAAACCCCGGGGGGGTTTTTTTCCCCCAAACCCCCCCCAAAATTTTAAAAAAAATTTTTTTTTTGGGGGGGGGGCCCCCCCTTTTTTTGTTTTGGGGTGGCAGCTACGGGATCACGTACGTTCTCAGCCGTCGCTTTGGGACAGGTGAGTCACCACTAACACGTTCTCAGCCGTCGCTTTGGGACAGGTGAGTCACCACTAACACGTTCTCAGCCGTCGCTTTGGGACAGGTGAGTCACCACTAACACGTTCTCCGCCGTCGCTTTCAAAAACCACACAGACACCAAGTCAGCTTCGAAAAGTCGACAGTCAAAATATGAGAGCCAGTTTTCTCTGTTCGAATGAGTGAGACGGGGTTGGTTAAAGCCCATTTACAACTGTTTCTAGATAATATTTGATTGATTTGTTAATGCTTCTCTGTCCTGTAGGTGTAGTGTGTGTGGTAAGGAGTTCTTTGAGAAGGCTCTGTTCAGGAGACACGTGAAGAAGGCTACGCATGGCAAGAAGGGCAGAGTAAAGCAGAACCTAGAGCGGGCGTGTGAGCACTGTGGCAGGAAGTTCACCCAGCTCAGAGAGTACAGGCGACACATGAACAACCACCAGGGTGAGACACACACACACACACACACACACACACACACACGTAAAGCCACAATCTGTCATTCTTCAGCCTAATGGAAGCCCCCCCCGCCAGGTTGGTTTGCTATAAACCCGAGGGATGGGGGGCTAGAGAAACGTAACCCATCTCTGAGATGGAGCTGTAGAGCATGGCGCTTGGAACGCCAGGGTAGTGGGTTCGATCCCCGGGACCACCCATACGTAAAAATGTATGCACACATGACTGTAAGTCGCTTTGGATAAAAGCGTCTGCTAAATGGCATATTATTATTATATTATGCACGCAAGGACTGACGGTCAATGAGAGCAACATCTCAAGCACGTTTCAGATGCAAACCACACTGTTCAACTGGATGTAAATATTGTCTCCATCCAACAGTAAAAAGTACTCAGTGATGCTATAGAGGTGTGTTCATTGGGCAGCTGGAGAATAAGGGGTCTGTACTGCAACGTAGCGCTGAATGTTTCCCTGTCTTCTAACACCTGTCCTCTTCTCTCAGGAGTCAAACCCTTTGAGTGTCTGACGTGCGGCGTAGCCTGGGCCGACGCCCGTTCCCTGAAGCGCCACGTGCGCACCCACACCGGCGAGCGCCCCTACGTGTGCCCCGAGTGCCAGGAGGCCCACATCGACGCCCGCTCCCTCCGCAAGCACATGACCAAATACCACGGCGACCACCTGCCGGGGAAGATCATGCTGGAGAAAGATACGCTACAGTTCCACAACCAGGGTACTCAGGTCGAACACGCCGTCTCCATCCTGGCGTCCGATCTCCCCCCCGAGCTCAGGCCCGCACAGCCGCCGCCGGCCGAGGAGATCGAGACGGTGCTGATCACGGAGGAGACGGTGGAGGCTGTTGAAGCGGTTCAGGCTGTACAGGGTGACGGGGTCGCGACCTTGTCGGACCAGAGTATAATGCAAGTGGTGAACTATGTGCTGTCCCAGCACAGTGTGCTGCCCGGGGGGGTGAAGATGGAGGAGCAGGAGGGTGATGAAGGGCAGGAGGGTGATGAAGGGCAGGAGGGTGATGAAGGGCAGGAGGTTCTACAGACCATGGAGGTAGAGGTGGCACACATGGCAGAGGTGGAGTGATGTGACAAACGGCACCTAGCAGACTGACAGACAGACTGACTCAGTCACTAGGCCAGGGTTTCTCAAACTCGGTCCTCAGGACCCCAAGGGGTGCACGTTTCGGTTTTTGCTCTAGCACTACACAGCTGATTCAAATAACCCGACTCATCATCAAGCTTTGATCATTTGAATCAGCTGTGTAGTGCTAGGGCAAAAAAAACAAAATGTGCACCCCTTTGGAACATCTGTAACTGTCATTTACGGCAATCTAGAGAGAAAAAAATGGCCTTATGATAAATAAAGTTTAAAAAAATAACTTATTTTATTTTTTATTTTGCGTAGTGGTGCAGCCAGTCCACAAGGTGGCGCAGCTCCCCTCTTAAATGTTTTGGGGGAGAACCCTGTAGTTTCCCTGATGCAGGTGGACAGGTGCAGTGACTCTAGGGCTGTGTGGTACTCTGTCCCCTATGTGGTGCATTACCTTCGACCAAGGGCACTATGTAGGGCACTATGTAGGGCACGAGGTTCCGTTTGAGAGGAACCCTAATCCTAACCCAGGTGGAGTGACCGGTAGACTGAACACAGGACTGTCAGTCTGCTGGACCAGTTCACTCTCCTTGTGTGGAGTAACGGGTCATCTGGGGTTCAGTAGGGCGCAAAGGAAACGCATCTGTGTTGTTATTGGACAAATTCAGGTACTGCCTTGCTGTTTTCTGACTATTGACCAGGCCCCCTGCTCTGCCTCAACCCAGGGACCTGATCATCCTTCTGTCTACAGTGGGACAGAAGGGTACATGGTTGACTTTATTTTTGACTGAATGTGTACATTGAATGGAACTGAGTTTTGACTTTCTGCTCAGTCCAATCTTGTGTATAATGTGTAAATAGCGACAGTAATAAAAAATATTCTGAATTAATAATCAAGGTTTATTTGCTGCATTCATGAGTTACCAGATTGTTGAATCTCAGGAGAGATGTTTGTTTCATAGAATTATAAAATAAAACAGTTTAATCCAGACGCATTCACTTTTTATTTATTTCTCATGTAGTACACTTGTTTCTAGCCTTGTTTTAAACCAGCCTGATCATTGGTCAGTCTGGCCCCTCAGGCTGGTTACAGAGCTCTTGTTTTGAAACCCCTCCCCCAGGCTGGTTACAGAGCTCTTGTGTGAAAACCCCTCCCCAGGCTGGTTAAGAGCTCTGGTTGTTGTGAGAACCCCTCCCCCAGGCTGGTTACAGAGCTCTTGTTGTGAAAACCCCTCCCCCAGGCTGGTTACAGAGCTCTTGTTGTGAAAACCCTCCCCCAGGCTGGTTACAGAGCTCTGTGTGAAACCCCTCCCCCAGGCTGGTTACAGAGCTCTGTTTGTGAAACCCCTCCCCCAGGCTGGTTACAGAGCTCTTGTTGTGAAACCCCTCCCCCAGGCTGGTTACAGAGCTCTTGTTGTGAAACCCCTCCCCCAGGCTGGTTACAGAGCTCTTGTTGTGAAACCCCTCCCCCAGGCTGGTTACAGAGCTCTTGTTGTGAAAACCCCTCCCCCAGGCTGGTTACCAGAGCTCTTGTTGTGAAACCCCTCCCCCAGGCTGGTTACAGAGCTCTTGTTGTGAAACCCCTCCCCCAGGCTGGTTACAGAGCTCTTGTTTGTGAAACCCCTCCCCCAGGCTGGGTACAGAGACTCTTGTTGTGAAACCCCTCCCCCAGGCTGGTTACAGAGCTCTTGTTGTGAAACCCCTCCCCCAGGCTGGTTACAGAGATCTTGTTTGGGTGAAACCCCTCCCCCAGGATGGTTACAGAGCTCTTGTTGTTGAAACCCCTCCCCCAGGCTGGTACAGAGCTCTTGTTGTGAAACCCCTCCCCCCAGGCTGGTTACAGAGCTCTTGTTTTGAAACCCCTCCCCCAGGCTGGTTACAGAGCTCTTGTTGTGAAACCCCTCCCCCAGGCTGGTTACAGAGCTCTGTTGTGAAACCCCTCCCCCAGGCTGGTTACAGAGCTCTGTTGTGAAACCCCTCCCCCAGGCTGGTTACAGAGCTCTTGTTGTGAAACCCCTCCCCCAGGCTGGTTACAGAGCTCTTGTTGTGAAACCCCTCCCCCAGGCTGGTTACAGAGCTCTTGTTGTGAAACCCCTCCCCCAGGCTGGTTACAGAGCTCTTGTTTTGAAACCCCTCCCCCAGGCTGGTTACAGAGCTCTTGTTGTGAAACCCCTCCCCCAGGCTGGTTACAGAGCTCTTGTTTTGAAACCCCTCCCCCAGGCTGGTTACAGAGCTCTTGTTGTGAAACCCCTCCCCCAGGCTGGTTACAGAGCTCTTGTTTTGAAACCCCTCCCCCAGGCTGGTTACAGAGCTCTTGTTGTGAAACCCCTCCCCCAGGCTGGAAAGGTAATACACATAGTTTATATGAATCTCTTCTGCCTTTCTCTCCAACCCTGAGGAACACAGTGTACCGACTGACTTCGTACTGCCAAGAGGGTAACCAACAGTCATCCCATATGAATACATGAATGATTATTCTGCTTTAGATGACATACAGTGGGGAGAACAAGTATTTGATACACTGCCGATTTTTGCAGGTTTTCCCTACTTACAAAGCATGTAGAGGTCTGTAATTTTTTATCATAGGTACACTTCAACTGTGAGAGACGGAATCTAAAAACAAAAATCCAGAAAATCACATTGTATGATTTTTAAGTAATTAATTTGCATTTTATTGCATGACATAAGTATTTGATCACCTACCAACCAGTAAGAATTCCAGCTCTCACAGACCTGTTAGTTTTTCTTTAAGAAGCCCTCCTGTTCTCCACTCATTACCTGTATTAACTGCACCTGTTTGAACTCGTTACCTGTATAAAAGACACCTGTCCACACACTCAATCAAACAGACTCTAACCTCTCCACAATGGCCAAGACCAGAGAGCTGTGTAAGGACATCAGGGATACAATTGTAGACAAGGCTGGGATGGGCTACAGGACAATAGGCAAGCAGCTTGGTGAGAAGGCAACAACTGTTGGCGCAATTATTAGAAAATGGAAGAAGTTCAAGATGACGGTCAATCACCCTCAGTCTGGGGCTCCATGCAAGATCTCACCTCGTGGGGCATTAATGATCATGAGGAAGGTGAGGGATCAGCCCAGAACTACACGGCAGGACCTGGTCAATGACCTGAAGAGAGCTGGGACCACAGTCTCAAAGAAAACCATTAGTAACACACTACGCCGTCATGGATTAAAATCCTGCAGCGCACGCAAGGTCCCCCTGCTCAAGCCAGCGCATGTCCAGGCCCGTCTGAAGTTTGCCAATGACCATCTGGATGATCCAGAGGAGGAATGGGAGAAGGTCAAGTGGTCTGATGAGACAAAAATATAGCTTTTTGGTCTAAACTCCACTCACCGTGTTTGGAGGAAGAAGAAGGATGAATACAACCCCAAGAACACCATCCCAACCATGAAGCATGGAGGTGGAAACATCATTCTTTGGGGATGCTTTTCTGCAAAGGGGACAGGACGACTGCACCGTATTGAGGGGAGGATGGATGGGGCCATGTATCGCGAGATCTTGGCCAACAACCTCCTACCCTCAGTAAGAGCATTGAAGATGGGTCGTGGCTGGGTCTTCCAGCATGACAACGACCCAAAACACACAGCCAGGGCAACTAAGGAGTGGCTCCGTAAGAAGCATCTCAAGGTCCTGGAGTGGCCTAGCCAGTCTCCAGACCTGAACCCAATAGAAAATCTTTGGAGGGAGCTGAAAGTCCGTATTGCCCAGCGACAGCCCCGAAACCTGAAGGATCTGGAGAAGGTCTGTATGGAGGAGTGGGCCAAAATCCCTGCTGCAGTGTGTGCAAACCTGGTCAAGACCTACAGGAAACAGATGATCTCTGTAATTGCAAACAAAGGTTTCTGTACCAAATATTAAGTTCTGCTTTTCTGATGTATCAAATACTTATGTCATGCAATAAAATGCAAATTAATTACTTAAAAATCATACAATGTGATTTTCTGGATTTTTGTTTTAGATTCCTTCTCTCACAGTTGAAGTGTACCTATGATAAAAACGACAGACCTCTACATGCTTTGTAAGTAGGAAAACCTGCAAAATCGGCAGTGTATCAAATACTTGTTCTCCCCACTGTGTCTGTGTTTATGTTTAACATTTCAGAAGAGCAGATGACCAGTGAGTTTAACCATTTTTATTATCCATTACAGTGATTGTTGACACTAAGAACATGAAATATACACACACTCCCAACAGCATTTGATAACTAGGGGTATTTTATTTTTTGGCTTATATGAAAATAAGTACATTGCAATATATTTACAATACATTGTACAAAAAAATAAGGAAGAGCAGATTACAGTACTAGGTTCTGCTTTCAATGTACCATCAACATGACATCACACTAGGGTCACGATCTCTAGCAGCTCAGTGATGTACGATTATATAGAACTGTGCTTATGGCAACACTACTCAGACCGCTTGTAATATCACAGTGAGAACAATGACTTGTGAGAGGACCCAGATGTATTAATTTGAATGAATACAAATAACCCTAAACCCCTTTACTGTCCCTTTATTGCTTTTAACCAATGCGCTATTTTTAGCCAAATCCTTTGGGTTTTTTTTAGTGAAGTATTTTCCTTTTTTGGGGGGGGAAATACTTAACAGAGCATGTAGCGTTTAGAAAATAACTATATAAAACGTGTATATACAATGATCTCAGTAAGTTTGGCCATCAATCAAGTTAAAACGTAACAAATAAAAAAAAGTTTACGAAATGTGGTTCCAGAAATCCAGCAATTCTGCAACTTGTCTCAAGCATCGTTTGCAATATAGAAATACAGCCCAGTAAATGTTCAACAGACCCCCAAAGACTACACCAGGGTTATATGTAGGTGGCAGAACAAGCAGGTAATGTCTACACCCCAAATGGCACCCTATCCCTATATATAGTACACTACTTTTGACCAGAGCCCCCTGTAGTGTATAGGGTGCCATTTGGGACACAGACAATAAGAAAGACAATTACCATCACAATCAGTCACGTTATTGATACGACCATCACAGTCAGTCACGTTATTGATACGACCATCACAATCAGTCACGTTATTGATACGACCATCACAATCAGTCACGTTATTGATATCACCATCACAGTCAGTCACGTTATTGATACGACCATCACAATCAGTCACGTTATTGAAACGACCATCACAATCAGTCACGTTATTGATATCACCATCACAGTCAGTCACGTTATTGATACGACCATCACAATCAGTCACGTTATTGATACGACCATCACAGTCAGTCACGTTATTGATACCACCATCACAATCAGTCACGTTATTGATACCACCATCACAATCAGTCACGTTATTGATACGACCATCACAATCAGTCACGTTATTGATACCACCATCACAATCAGTCACGTTATTGATACGACCATCAGTCAGTCACGTTATTGATACGACCATCACAATCAGTCACGTTATTGATACGACCATCAGTCAGTCACGTTATTGATACGACCATCACAATCAGTCACGTTATTGATACAACCATCAGTCAGTCACGTTATTGATACAACCATCAGTCAGTCACGTTATTGATACGACCATCACAATCAGTCACGTTATTGATACAACCATCACAACATCGAGGGCTATGAGCATATTGAGTTACTTGTTCATTTCAGTTACTGAGTAATGAGAAACGTAAATACTTCCGGTACAACGGTTTGTGTGATGATGCATTATCGTCATTCACATAGAAATACAATAGGTACTTATAAACACGATGGTTTAACTAACACTAGGGTTAACATTCCCTAAATTCCCAGGTTTTCTGGACATCCCAGAGGGTTATCACAGGCACAGCAGTAGCACAATCACCAACCAACAGCACGTTATTAACATCTTCTCTCTGACAGGAAGTCAAAATAAAATATGTATCTTGAAGTGTAGACAATCAAGACTGACTTGTTACAATCAGGTCAAAACAGTGTTGTGAACTAAAAAAACAACAGGCAACCATAACAGTCCAGTATCGAGCAGCAGAGACGGGGATTCAACCCAACGTGTGGTATAGAGACTTTTAAAGGTTCTTTAAGGTTGTCACTAGTTACCACAGCCACAAAGTCAAAACGGCGGTGTCGTAAAAGTTCATGAAAACAAAAATGTGCTTTTTGGTCTTAATTTAAGTTTAGGCATAAGGTCAGCATTGTGTTTGGGTTTAAAATCAGATTTTAAGAAGATAAATTATAGAAATAGGCAAGGGTTTGGCCATAATTATGACTTGGTGGCTAGGGTAACTAGTGACGACCGTAATTTAGGCTTGAGCTGACATATACTATATGACTATTTATCCATTTTTGGCATGTATTTAGCAGTGTGCGCAGTACCAGTATGTCCACTAGAGGCCGCCACTAGCCCGTTTTAATGTGAGGTTCTTCTAGGGGGCTCACGCTAGCCTATGGCAGTTAAGAGACGTTTACCAAGTGAGTCAACAGCAAGATTGAAGCACTGACATAAATACATGTTTTTTTATCTTCATTTTGAAGGTCTTAACGTCAAGGTCTTAAATCTTGGCTGTCTAGTGTGCTGCTCTATAAGCGTGCTTTGGATTGAATCTCGGCCAACAACAACAACAACAAAGCCCCCAAAAGTTTCCTCTCAAGTCGTGCTTTAACATCGGAATGGATTATGAACACTATTATAAAACAATATCAAAGCAATCACAAAAGCATTTCTTAAGTGCTTTGTCTCAAGAAATTTGATAAAAAATAAAGAAATGTACCTTTTTTTCTAAAACACCATCTCTCGCATCCTCTAGCTAATGAAGGCTTTAAAAAAATAAACACTACAAAATAAGTGCATTTTTCTTTGCATAGTATTTTGCTCTATAGGATATCTGAGTTTAGGACTATCTGAGCAGAGCACTTTGAAGCAGAGATTTCCTAGTTCTGTCCTGTGATAGGAGAGTGGGTTGGTCAACAGGTGTATCATATAAGAAGGGAACAGAGACAGGGCTTCAATCCAAGGTGCATTGCTGAGAAGTGTACTGCACTCTACTTTTAAAGGTAATACAGTTGAAGTCGGAAGTTAACATACACCTTAGCCAAATACATTTAAACTCTGTTTTTCACAATGCCTGACATTTAATCCTAGTAAAGATTCCCTGTCTTAGGTCAGTTAGGATCACCACTTTATTTTAAGAATGTGAAATGTCAGAATAATAGTAGAGAGAATGATTTATTTCAGCTTTTATTTCTTTCATCACATTCCCAGTGGGTCAGAAGTTTACATACACTCAATTAGTATTTGGTAGTATTGCCTTTAAGTTGTTTAACTTGGGTCAAACGTTTCGGGTAGCCTTCCACAAGCTTCCCACAATAAGTTGGGGGAATTTTGGCCCATTCCTCCTGACAGAGCTGGTGTAACTGAGTCAGGTTTGTAGGTCTCCATGCTCGCACACGCTTTTTCAGTTCTGCCCACAAATGTTCTATAGGATTGAGGTCAGGGCTTTGTGATGGCCACTCCAATACCGTGACTTTGTTGTCCTTAAGACATTTTGCCACAACTTTGGAAGTATGCTTGGGGTCATTGTCCATTTGGAAGACCCATTTGTGACCAAGCTTTAACTTCCTGACTAATGTCTTGAGATGTTGCTTCAATATATCCACATAATTTTCCTTCCTCATGATGTCATCTATTTTGTGAAGTGCACCAGTCCCTCCTGCAGCAAAGCACCCCCACAGCATGATGCTGCCACCCCCGTGCTTCACGGTTGGGATGGTGTTCTTCGGCTTGCAAGCTACCCCCTTTTTCCTCCAAACATAACAATGGTCATTATGGCCAAACAGTTCTATTTTTGTTTAATCAGACCAGAGGACATTTCTCCAAAAGGTACGATCTTTGTCCCCATGTGCAGTTGCAAACCATAGTCTGGCTTTTTTATGGCAGTTTTGGAGCAGTGGCTTCTTCCTTGCTGAGCGGCCTTTCAGGTTATGTCGATATAGGACTCGTTTTACTGTGGATATAGATAATTGCGTACCTGTTTCCTCCAGCATCTTCACAAGGTCCTTTGCTGTTGTTCTGGGATTGATTTGCACTTTTCGCACCAAAGTACGTTCATCTCTAGGAGACAGAACGCGTCTCCTTCCTGAGCGGTATGACGGCTGCGTGGTCCCATGGTGTTTATACTTGCGTACTATTGTTTGTACAGATGAACGTGGTACCTTCAGGTGTTTGGAAATTGCTCCCAAGGATGAACCAGACTTGTGGAGGTCTTGGCTGATTTCTTTTGATTTTCCCATGATGTCAAGCAAAGAGGCACTGAGTTTGAAGGTAGGCCTTGAAATACATCCACAGGTACACCTCCAGTTGACTCAAATGATGTCAATTAGCCTATCAGAAGCTTCTAAAGCCATGACATCATTTCCTGGAATTTTCCAAGTTGTTTAAAGGCACAGTCAACTTAGTGTATGTAAACTTCTGACCTACTGCAATTGTGATACAGTGAATTATAAGTGAAATAATCTGTCTGTAAACAATTGTTGGAAAAATTACTTGTGTCATGCACAAAGTAGATGTCCTAACCGACTTGCCAAAACTATAGTTTGTTAACAAGAAATTTGTGGAGTTGTTGAAAAAACGAGTTTTAATGACTCCAACCTAAGTGAATGTAAACTTCCGACTTCAACTGTATGTGCTGACATCTGCAGCGTTTGTAAAAGCGATCTCTGTGAACGTCAGGGAAATTGCCTTTACAGGCCCATTGTTGCAGTGCGCTTTTCGACAACTCGCCTTAGATTGAAATTCCGGCCAGAGTGTCTGTCTATTCCCCCTCCTCCTTGATGCGTTGCTGCTTGTTGCGTCGGGAGTCCAGGTCGAAGGAGAAGTCGGACCAGTCGTCGCGCGGCGGGAAGGAGATGGTCTGGCGCAGGGTGAAGCGCACCGCGTCGATGACCCGCTCGCCCCGGGCCTCGGAGGACCCTACGCTGACGGTGGAGGCCCCGCCGGAGGTACGTAGGATGTGGGGAGGAGGGGAGAACTCCATGCTCTGCCGGTGCTCCATGATGCCCTTCCAGATGACATGCTGAAACTCCTGGGGGATCTTCAGCCGGGACAGGTCCTGTGGACGGGGACGACATCACACACCTTTGGGTTAGTCTCCTCTCTCTCAGGCTAGGCTCAGGGCCCCAGGCGGCCCAAAAGGCCATTGTCTTACGTCTGATAGCACAACGACTCCGTCTGCACTGATAGTTCGTGGCAACTCTGACGTGTTAGAATAATTGCCAGAAGACAATGCTCTCCAGCTAGGCTCAAGAGGAGCCCAAAAATGAAGAGCAGTTCAGGTTCGCTAAAAATAGACTTCAAGATAGAAATATTCATTTTATTTATTTTCTTTTTTTTTTGCTTACGTGAAGGCTCAGGCCTCTTGAAGCCACCCGACCCTTCTCTCTGAGTTTAACCACACAGATGCAGTGCGTGCGACAGGCAAGGCCTCACCTCCAAGTTATAGTTCTCGATCTGGTAGATGTTGGTCAGGCCCTGTGCTGTGAAGTAGTCCAGGCAGGCTGCGCAGCCCAGCCGCAGAAGAAAGCTGCAACAGGACACGGAGAGGGGGGAACAGGTCAGTAGTGAAAATAGTACCTCAGCATTCTTGTAATAACTGTGTTATATCTAGTAAGTGAAGACAATGGCCAACAGTAGAGATATTTCTGTCAAGAATGGCCAACAGTAGAGAGATTTCTGTCAAGAATGGCCAACAGTAGAGATATTTCTGTCAAGAATGGCCAACAGTAGAGAGATTTCTGTCAAGAATGGCCAACAGTAGAGAGATTTCTGTCGGTTGCGGGCACTAAAAAGTTATTTAGAACCCTGTACAGCGGATCAGTTGTTTTTGACAAACTATCGCTAGGAGACGCTACAGAGCCGTGTTGCAATTGTTCTGTCAATATTTCGTCTCGTCCTGACTTTATAGTGCCCACAACTGTCCAGAAGCATCAACAGATGTGTGGTTATCAGTGGTGGCTGGTGCCACTAAAATCGGAGGACGGGCTCATAGTAATGGCTGTAATGGAATTAATGGAACAGTATCAAAACAGAGATGGATACCATAAGTCATTCCATTCCAGCCATTACTATGAGCCGTCCACCCCTCACCAGCCTCCACTGGTGGTTGTTTAGCTAGGTACCTGGAGATGCTGCTGTCCATGGGGTAGGGAGGCGGGGGGGTGCAGTGAGAGCTGGGCACCATGGGTAACTGAGGCTGCAGGACGTGTGCGGGGCTCAGGGCCGACATGTCAGCATTCATAGCCATGTGGCCCATCATCGGAGCCACTACAGAATCAAAACAGACTACCGTGAGCGAATCTCTTAAAAAGGGGCAATTTGACGTTTTTAAAATCTCAAATTTCCTCCTCATCTCCTGCACCATACCGGTGTTGACATATTATGTAGATTAACACAAGCTGCTGTGAGCATCTCTAGAGAAACAAGCGTCTGTGAACGGTACTCTTTAAAGCGACAATCTGTAATTCGTTTTTTTTTGTTGTTGCTATAAATGCGAAGGGACGGGGCTGGACAAATGTGAGAACTCTTAATGTTCTATGAGATTGTGATATCAACAGAAGATAGTGGGGGCATCTCAACAGGGTGGTTCCTCAACATTACAAAACAATTACTACACAAAGCAACAATACATGAGGTAAAGGGAGGAAGGGGAACACACTCAATTTAAAGGGGAACTCCACCACTTTTCAACCTAATTTGTTCATTATCTTCAGCACGATACCGGTGTCTACATATGCGAATACGGTGCATTTCTATCCCATGGCATCATCACAGTGATGTGGGGAGCTAGAAGATGCCCTCCTAACCCGTTGCAGGTTTTAGAAAATCACTATTTTTCTTACTTTTAATTCTACCCTGCGATGTCAAAAGCTAGGCTTCCTTCCAATTGGCAATAGATTTTCATGCGACTATTCTAAAATCTGCATAAAAACTATTCGCGTTTTCCCACCAGAGAGACGTTTCCATCAAATTGACTTGTTGCAGATAAAGGGTGACACAGTGCACATAAAAATACCTTTTACAGTTACATTCGCATGTACCGATTATTATTTTTTAAATCTGACATGTACCGAAATAAGAAATTCAAGTTAACAGCTCACATATATACAGTCTAGCTTAACAGCTCACAGATATACAATCTAGCTTAACAGCTCACAGATATACAGTCTAGCTTAACAGCTCGCAGATATACAGTCTATCTTAACAGCTCGCAGATATACAGTCTAGCCAGCAGCTCGCAGATATACAGTCTAGCTTAACAGCTCGCAGATATACAGTCTAGCTTAACAGCTCACAGATAGACAGTCTAGCTTAACAGCTCACAGATATACAGTCTAGCTTAACAGCTCACAGATATACAGTCTAGCTTAACAGCTCACAGATATACAGTCTAGCTTAACAGCTCACAGATATACAGTCTAGCTTAACAGCTCACAGATATAGTCTAGCTTAACAGCTCACAGATATACAGTCTAGCTTAACAGCTCACAGATATACAGTCTAGCTAACAGCTCACAGATATACAGTCTAGCTTAACAGCTCACATATATACAGTCTAGCTTAACAGCTTACAGATATACAGTGCGGGTAGGCTTGGCTACATGATGACAAAAGAGTGAGCTAATTTAAATTTGTCAAACGGCAGCCAAGCATCGATCATCATGTCACCAGAATAAGACCCTCGATATTTATTGAAAATGAGCATCAAGCTCATCACCGTGCCCTTTCGCCACCCTGTGAAGTTCTTCATAATTTATTTAATCTGTAGCCTAATAAACTGATGCTTTCCTGAGTCCTAGTGGGAGGGGCCACACAACGTATCCTATCGCGTGATGATGGTTATTAAATAAATATTTGAGCATAAAGATGTTTCCACCGCCATTTAATTTTACCGACACTAAAGATCCCACCTTTTCTACCGTATTTACCTTGGGTTTTGTCGACATTTTGAAAGTTTACAGACAAATTTGCTCAGGCCTGTCGTGACATCTTTCTGTCCTACATGTCCTTTACTCGCATTAAAAGGTTGGTGAGAACCAGATCATAGACCAAAGAAACACCCCGTTTTCACATAATGTAGACACTGGTACCGTGCTGGAGATTTACGTCAAAACAGTGAAAGGGTGCTTGAACTTGAAGACAACAGTTGGCCAACAATAATCCATGACCTGCGGGCCCCCAGAGAGTCCCATGAGTGGAGGAGCAGGGAGGAACAGGGTCCCACAGGGATCACATTCACCTAGGGGAGGAAGCCTTCTGACAGACGCCCCCTTACACACCTCTCCCAGTGCCCCTCGTGTCCAGACAGGTACCGCTACCCTGCCTGTACCCGCCTGACGCGTGTCACATGATCGACCCAAAAAGGGACGTGGAGGTGTAGTTAGGAGGCGGGGCCAGTGGAGGTACGACAGGGAGTAAAACAAGGACAGGACGAGACAGGGGGGGGCCTAGCCGGAGAGAAACACAGACTAGGGAGAATCTCTCCCACTATACAAAGGGGTAAAGCAACTCACTGTCAGTCAGGCCTTGGGCCATGGAGGACGGGGTGAGCGTGTTGCGTTGCTGGGGGTTGATGAGCTGGCTGACGGAGGGGAGCTTGTTGACCTTGCCGTGGGGGTGAGGAGGGGAGCTGGAGCCGTACTGGGCCGGGGGTACCATGGAGCTCCTGGGGCAGGGGAGAGGAGGATACAGCCCGTTACTCTCATCCCCCAAGAGATCCCATCTTTAACGACAAAGGGCCACATGGCTGTTAGTTACACAACGGGAAACAACAACATTTCATTTTTTTTTTACTGTTCAGTAGGATAAACAGACTGTGTATATATATTTTTTCACTCAATCTTTCTTTATTGCTGTCTCCCTACCTGTTTCTTGAACTTTGTTTAAAGGCCATATGTGACTAAGAAATAGTTCCGATAATTTTTTACAGAACTTTGTCATATAGCATTCTACTGAGGATAACTTTAATTTATCTGAAACATTACTGGAAATGATAATGTAAGCAGAAACATTAAACATATATCTCAATCAATATACTGTAGGTGTCACTTATCAGAGTACAATACTGCATCTCAATCAATATACTGTAGGTGTTACTTATCAGTTTCTTTTGTGATATATGACTGGATAAACAGTAAGTTTTCTAACGGCGGTTCCTTGTTTGGGTTAAATGAAGAATGGTGTGGAATGACGGAATACGTCTCGTGCGATCCATAACCCAATCTAAGTTCTAATTTCGTTTTTATCAATAACTATTGATCCAACGTACATACTGGTCAAAAGTTTAGAACACCTACTCATAGGTTCAAGGTTTTTCTCTTATTTTTACTATTTTCTACATGTAGAATAATAGTGAAGACACCAAAACTATGAAATAATACATATGGAATCATGTAGTAACCAAATCAATTTGAGATTCTTCAAAGTAGCCACCCTTTGCCTTGATGACAGCTTTGCACACTCTTGGCATTCTCTCAACCAGCTTCATGAGGTAGTCACCTGGAATGCATTTCAATTAACAGGTGTGCCTTGTTAAAAGTTAAATTTGTGGAATTTCTTTCCTTCGTAATGCTTTTGAGCCAATCAGTTGTGTTGTGACAAGGTATACAGAAGATAGCCCTATTTGGTAAAAGACCAAGTCCATATTATGGCAAGAACAGCGCAAATAAGCAAAGAGAAACGACAGTCCATCATTACTTTAAGACATGGAGGTCAGTCAATACGGAACATTACAAGAACTTTGAAAGTTTCTTAAAGTGCAGTTGCAAAAACCATCAAGCGCTATGATGAAACTGGCTCTCATGAGGACCGCCACAGGAATGGAAGACCCAGAGTTATCTCTGCTGCAGAGGATAAGTTCATTAGAGTTGCCAGCCTCAGAAATTGCAGCCCAAATAAATGCTTCACAGAGTTCAAGTAACAGACACATCTCAACATCAACTGTTCAGATGAGAATCAGGCCTTCATGGTCGAATTGCTGTAAAGAAACCACTACTAAAGGACACCAATAAGAAGAAGATACTTGCTTGGGCCAAGAAACACAAGCAATGGACATTTAGACCGGTGGAAATTTGTCCTTTTGGTCTGGAGTCCAAATTTGAGATTTTTGGTTCCAACCGGCGTCTTTGTGAGACGCGGTGTGGGTGAACGGATGATCTCTGCATGTGTATTTCCCACCGTAAAGCATGGAGGAGGAGGTGTTATGGTGCTTTGCTGGTGACACTGTCTGTGATTTATTTAGAATTCAAGGCACACTTAACCAGCATGGCTACCAAGCATTCTGCAGCGATACGCCATTACATTTTACATTTTAGTAATTTAGCAGACGCTCTTATCCAGAGCGACTTACAGTTAGTGAGTGCATACATTTTTCATACTGGCCCCCCTGTGGGAATCGAACCCACAACCCTGGCGTTGCAAGCGCCATGCTCTACCAACTGAGCTACAGGAGGTTTGCGCTTAGTGGGACTATCATTTGTTTTTCAACAGGACAATGACCCAACACACCTCCAGGCTGTGTAATACCAAGAAGGAGAGTGATGGAGTGCTGCATCAGATGACCTGGCCTCCATAATCCCCCGACCTCAACCAAATTGAGATGGTTTGGACCGCAGAGTGAAGGAAAAGCAGCCAACAAGTGCTCAGCATATGTGGGAACTCCTTCAATACTGTTGGAAAAGCATTTCAGGTGAAGCTGGTTGAGAGAATGCCAAGAGTGTGCAAAGCTGTCATCAAGGCAAAGAGTGGCTATTTGAAGAATCTCAAATATAAAACATATTTTGATTTGTTTAACACTTTTTTGGTTACTACATGATTCCATATGTGTTATTTCATAGTTTTGATGTCTTCACTATTATTCTACAATGTAGAAAATAGTAAAAATAAAGAAAAACCCTTGAATGAGCAGGTGTTCTAAAAATGTTGACCAGTACTGTAGGTCCGGTTCTTTATGTAGTGTAGTAAGAAGTTGTAGATTCCAACAGGCACATATTCTACATAGTTTAGTGCATAAAACGTGGTAATTAACTACAATGACCATAATCCATTGCGCATCTACTAGTCCGATCTGTGTTTCTTTTACGCCTGCAACAGAAGAGACAAGAATGCGTGATCATGTGGTGCAGTAAAAAGCAGCTGTTGCTTGGCGAGGTTTCTCTACCAGAAAATACATGATCAAAGTAATTGATAGCTGGTATTCAGCAGTTATAAAAGTCTGCCTTATTTACTTTGTAGAACTACTAAATAATAATAATAATAATATGCCATTTAGCAGACGCTTTTATCCAAAGAGACTTACAGTCATGCGTGCATAAATTTTTACGTATGGGGGTGGTCCCGGGGATCGAACCCAGTACCCTGGCGTTACAAGCGCCGTGCTCTACCAGCTGAGCTACAGAGGACCACAGTGATTTAGTCAGACAACATAGGCAGCAGCTCTGTAGAGATGAGATGATGACTTGGAATGAAATAATAAAGTCATCAAATAAAACCAATGTAATATACACAACAACAAATATTTTATCTAAGTAAAGTAAGTCGTGAATAACTGATGGTTAATAAGCGATAAGCAGTAATGGGCAGTCACTACCATCATGGGACTTTATTCATTGTGTGTTGTTACAGCATTCAACCCAAATTGAAACCAAATTTGAAAATCGTGATTTTTTTTTAAATAATCGAACCGAAACCGAACTGACCACAAAAAGCACTACTCTCTCAGCACTAACCCCTCAGCACTAACCCCTCAGCACTAACCCCTCAGCACTAACCCCTCAGCACTAACCCCTCAGCACTAACCCCTCAGCACTAACCCCTCAGTACTAACCCCTCAGCACTAACCCCTCAGCACTACTCTCAGCACTAACCCCTCAGCACTAACCCCTCAGCACTAACCCCTCAGCACTACTCTCTCAGCACTAACCCTCAGTACTACCCCTCAGCACTACCCCTCAGCACTAACCCCTCAGCACTAAACCCCTCAGCACTACTCCTCAGCACTACCCCTCAGCACTAGCCACTACCCTCAGCACTAACCCCCTCAGCACTAACCCCTCAGCACTACCCTCTCACGAATCATTACTCCCCCTCAGCACTACTCTCTCAGCACTACTCACTCAGCACTACTCTCTCAGCACTACTCTCTCAGCACTACTCTCTCAGCACTACTCACTCAGCACTACCCTCTCAGCACTAAACCCCTCAGCACTAACTCACTCACACTACCTCTCAGCACTAAACCCCCCAGCACTAGACAGCACTAACTCCTCAGCACTAACTCACTCAGCACTACTCTCTCAGCACTACTCTCTCAGCACTAAACCCCTCAGCACTAAATCCCTCAGCACAACCCCTCACTACCCAGCACTAACCCCTCAGCCAGGCAACTAACCCCTCAGCACTAACCCCTCAGCACTAACCCCTCAGTACTAACCCCTCAGCACTAACCCCTCAGCACTAGGAGCAGCACTAACCCCTCAGCACTAACCCCTCAGCACTACCCCTCAGCACTAACCCCTCAGCACTAACCCCTCAGCACTAACCCCTCAGTACTAACCCCTCAGCACTAACCCCTCAGCACTAACCCCTAAGCACTAACCCTAAGCACTAACCCTCAGCACTAACCCCTCAGCACTAACCCCTCAGCACTAGGAGCAGCATGAGAGGAAAAGCAGGAAAAGACGTGTATTTATTCTGACAGACCAAAGCATCACAACAATCTGTTTCAAACAGAACGGTCACAAAAGCAACTTCTCCATAGAATCTGCTCCTTCTACATACATGCATACATTATGCATCATACATTAGTCATTTTCTCTCTACTTTAATGAACATTTATTTCAGATCATATAGATAACAAACTGTCCCGCAGTGACGTTGAAAAACATGACCAGCATTATCAAAGTCATCTTCATAATATCTCTCCCTGTAAGATATTTGTTCTTCCCAAATGGCACCCTATTCCCTTAATAGTGCACTTCTGTTGATGGGGAAAAAATAGTCAGTGCATTATATAGAGAATCTAGTGCCATTTCTGCACCCTAAGGTTTGAGTCCAGCTCCAATGACAAAACCAAAAGCATACAGAAGTGAAAGCTTAAGGATCGCTCAAAGACAACTTAAGTCCTGTAGAAAAACACAGTGCTTGGTTCCTGACAGCTCCAAGCCTTCAGTCCAACACGTTGACTACACCGGTCTCTGTGTGCACCATCGCATGCATGTTGATTTGGTCTATAAACACCAGAAGCGATCATGACACGCAGGTTAAAATATCAAAAACCAACTGTGAACCAACTACTGTATATTAATTTCGGGGCAGGTTGAAACACATGAAACATTCATGGACATTTAGCTGGCTAGCTGTTGCTAGCTGTTGCTAGCTGTTGCTAGGCTAGCTGTTGCTAGCTGTTGCTTGGAGATGAGCATTGGATTGTTATTTTACCTGACATGCATATGGTCCTCTTTTTAGCTGGTTCTTTGTAGAATTTTGACCCGGAGTCATACAAAATCGTGTGTTTCTCTACTCCGACAATGAATCCACAGATAAAAAGGGAAAGCTAGTTAGTTTTTAGTTAGTTATCATTAATCTCTCCTCATTTGCCTTTTAAGCATCCATGTAGGTTTGTGTCTTCCTGAATAAGGAGGGGACTTGCACGCAATGTGGCCGGTGTCGTTTGGGTGTTAGCCATAGCTGACTGCGATACAAATACACTGTGTCCCTGTCCATAACTCAATTACTAACTTCTATTTTACCATAAGCAAAACACAACCCTAAAAAACTGAAAAAGTAAATGTAAGTTGCTCTGGATAAGAGCGTCTGCTAAATGACTAAAATTTAAAAAAATTTAATGAATGAGACTTTGAAAATGATCCACTGTAGCCTAATCTCTGACTCTAC